GTTTGCGGCACCTCTCTTCTCTTCTTTTTAATATACATACTTTTCTCTCGTTGGAACCACTACAACCTCTTTCTTTTATATATATATATATATATATATATATATATATATATATATATATGTATGTGTGTGTGTGTGTGTGTGTGTGTGTGTGTGTGTGTGTGTGTGTATTTTGACTAATGCACACATCAGCTGAATTTTAATTTTAAAATTTCTCTGTATCCCAACGACGCATTCAAAATCTGGGCAGAGTCTTGCTAGATAGGAGGATTTCTTTGGTAACGAAGAAAAGAATACTGAGCTGTCACGTGACATCTGTCCTTCTTTACGGCAGCGAATATTGGACGATTTCCTCAAAGATGAAGAAGAGACTCGAGGCGACGGAGGTGTGGTTCTACACAAGGATGCTAAGGATATCATAGACCAAGCATGTGGGCAACGATGAGGTCTTAGAGAGGTTGCAAAGGAGGAGGCTTATATTTAACATCAGGTAGAGGCAGCTGAAAATTCTGGGACACATAATGAGGAAGGAGGGTCTGGAGAATCTGATACTCACGGGTCGAATAGAGGGAATGAGAGACAAGGGAAAATAACGCGTGACATACCAAGCGGCTTTAAACAAGTGGATGACAGAACGTGGTCTGGGGGAGTTGACAGAGAATAAGGAACTTGTTGAGAGCTGCAAGGGATAGGAGGAGTTGGAGAGCCATGATCGCCTAGGTCCTGAAAAAAAGACTGATTTATGTGGTGAATATTCACGGTTGAATTAGGTGCATTGACAAGGAAGGAGAAATATTTGTTGTGTTAAATCAACGTTCTTTTTTTATCATGAGGCAACAGACTTATTGATGTTCTTATATAATTAAGACTGAATAAAGTGCATTGACAAAAATGTTATTATGATAATAATTAAATCTCCCTTTTGTAAATAAATGATTTTTTAATTATTAGGCTGTGGACTTATTGATGTACCTATATAAGGAACAAAGAAATATGAGCATTGACAAAGGGGGAAATTATGATTTAAAACAAATATGTATTGTTTAAATTAAATGATTTTTTTTCAGCATTAGGCTAAGGACTTACCAACATACCAATATAATAAAAACAGAATTATGTCCATTGGCAAGAAAGGAGATTATGTTGAAAAATATATTTTTTTGCATAAAATCAATGCTTGTTTTCGTAATTAGGCTACGGATTTATTGATACACCTGCATAATTGCCAGTAGATTAAGTGCATTGACAAGGGAGGAGATTATGTTGAAAATTTAAATATTTGTTGCGTAAAATATATGCATCTTTTCATCATTAGGATACGAACTTATTATTACGACCTACCTATATAATTAACACTGAATTAAGTGCATTGACATGGGAGAAGATTATGCTTAAAAATAAATATATGTTGTCGAAAACAAATGCAGTTTGTCATCCTTAGGCTACAGACTTGTTGATTCACTTGCATAATTGCCACTGAATTAAGTGCATTGATAAGGAAGGAGATTATGTTTAAAAATAAATATTTGTTGTGGAAAATAAATACTTCTTTTCATCATGAGGATACGGACTTATCGATACACCTGCGTATATTCATCTCGACCTCTCTATATATAGAGATTTACTAAGTTTAGATGTGGCACAAGGCCGACAGTATGGAGCACGGCGTGAGGAGTGAACTTACTTCTCAGTTGTAATTGATTTAGCGAGACATGCTCGTTAACCATTACACCACGTCGAAATGACCCCGATTCTGTACATATATTACATCTCGGATTTTACATGAATTGGACACTGAGTACACCTGCAATTCCTTTCAGGCCATTTTCCCTCGGTAATATTTCAAAACTGTAGGCCGACGGGGGTCGGTTAAGTAAAGATAAAAAGATTGGCTGACTGTTGTATAAACACGGGCTTCGAATTTAATATGTTGTTACCCACCTCCACACGTTTCTCAAAACGAAAAGAAAAGAAAATTCCCTGATTAAGAAAACAACAAGGCCGATAACAGGGAATCCTTTTTAGGGTAACCCAAGAAGCAAACGATGTCTGCGTCCCCCCACTCACACACCGAGGGTGTCGCATACCGTGCTTGTTCGGAAATTCCACCTTACAGTCAGGCTTGTTTTACCCTACCCTAAATTGCCAGTGTTTAATGGACAGGTGGCCCAACCCGGAGGAGGATATTTTTCGCCTGCTGGTTCCTTCTAAGATAACGATCGAGTTACCCATTGCTTCCGTGAAGAGCTCATTTATAAAATAACAGAAGGTGGCCCGGCTGCTCACCGAAAACCCACAGACAATTTACATTATATATCGTATTAATTTAACTTTTAAAAAGCTAGAGATTGTTTTATTTTTTCCTTCATATTGTTGTTTCACTTCCACTCAACGGGCGGTCAGATCGCCAGATATTTTTACCGATTAACGACCACGTAAAATCCGGTATTAATCATAAAACTTAAGATAAAAATTCAGAATTAATAATAGATTTCTAAAAAATGGAGAAAACGGTATTAATAATAGATATAAAAAAAAATCTAATATAATTTAAAAGTTTACAAAAATCAGGAATTATCGTTGTCAGCAAGATACGGAATAAGAATTGGGGATGAGAAAATCTAGCAAGTTTGAAGATTTTCTATATCTGGGGAAGTGTTTTAAAAGTGGACAGAAAATATGACACCGATGAGAAAATGAAGGATGTTCGAAAAATGTCTATATCTGGGGAATCATTTTAAAAGTGAACAGAAAATATGACACCGATGAGAAAATGAAGGAAGTTCAAAAATTTTTATATGTGGGGAAGTGTTTTAAAAGTGGACAGAAAATGTGACACCGATGAGAAAATGAAGGAAGTTCAAAAAATTTCTATATCTGGGGAAGCATTTTAAAAGTCGACAGAAAATGTGACACCGATGAAAAAAATGAAGGAAGTTTGAAGATTTTCTATATCTGGGGATGTGTTTTAAAAATGGGCAGAAAATGTGACACTAATGAGAGGGGAGTAGTGTGTATATGTGAGTTAGCTGAGAAGTATTTCGTTTAACAAGGCAGGATATCAATATCAAATAGAGCAGGCGGATATGATTTTTACATAGGGCCGCCCGAATGGTAATGGACGCGAGGCTGTACGTCTCTATCAGATTGCTTTTCCAGGCCGAAGGCATCCGAGTCATCTAACTTTTTCTGATGTTTATCATCGCATTGCTGAGAGCGGATCCGTGGCACCACAAATTACGTGGAACCCATTCTACAGGCTGAGCATGTCGACATTTCATAGTAATGCATGGACATCTCATTTTAACAGATATATTTACCAAAATTACACAAAAATATCTTGAAATATGAAATTAAACTTAATCAATAAAATCGCCATTGTCTTCAATCATGGATTCCAAACGACTTCTGAATCTCCTGCAACTCTTCTGGACAGTCTCCTTTTTTAAGCTACTGATTGCTGCCATAAATCTTGCTATCAGTTCATCTTTGGTGTTACAAGGAGTTTTGTCGGTCTCTCGATCAACTGTACCCCACGCCTCAAGGGGTTTTACTGTCTGGGGAGTTAGGTGGGGTGGTGTGATGTGGTCTCAGAAATTTTCTGATAGCTATGACTGGGTTCTCCTGTTTGTGTGGCATAGTGCAGAGTCATGTTGCCAGATAAAGGGTCTTCCAGCAGCCACCCTCTTGATCCAGGGTAGCACTTGATATATGCCCCGGTGTTGTGTCTGACGCCCTGTGGGAAGATGAATGGCGGCATAACGTCGCCATCACTAGTGGTACTCCAAACAACCTGATGTTGACTGTATATTTGGTTTACCTCACTCTCGATACATCTTTTAGGGACCTAGCAAGCCAACAGTTGTTCTGTGTGTTCATCATTTTATCCTGGCAGAAATTTTTCTCGTTTGATAAAAACCAAAGCATGTTCGGTTGGAGGGGAAGGTATGTTCGCATACTTCGTAACATGGTCTTTCCTCTTGCCCTTCATGGCTTTGTATAAAAACTAGCACTTTCTCATCTTGTATACGAAATACCGAATGTTTTCATGAGCTACCTGCCTGAGATGAATCTCAGATACTCCTGTGTCCCTGGCTTTAGACCTGATTGACTTTGTTGTCAATCATGGCCTGGATCTCAGCAACAAATTCAGCAGTTCTTTTCTTATCAGAACGATCAGAGTGAGTTTTCCGATCTGTCGTACCTCCGTAATAACCATTAGACTCATCCAACTCTTTCCGAAATCTCTGGACTGTCGTTAGACTCACTCCCAAATACTCTTAAATGTTCGTATTGGAGCTTCTGGGGCGAATGCCAAGCAGTACAGTATACCTTTTCCAAATTCCCGTTGGAGTAAATTACGTCATGAAGCCCCTTTTTCTCACAGACGGTGCCCAGCTGACCCTGCTATACTGTGCAGTCGACAAAATAAAAAACAAACAACGCGAATGCGCAAAATTAAAAATTATAAAATGGCGGCAATTTACCTCCTATAGATGTATGTATGCATATTATAAAAGTGAATTAGCCAGCATTAAATAAGGTGTCTTTCTCCATAGGGGACCGTGTATTGAAGTAAGTTTTAAATAATAGTTTTAAATAGTTTCTTCTTTAAAAAAGGATTTAGACATTTAAATAAATTAGTTGTCTCCCTTAACGTTTGCCCGTGTGTCTACATGAGAAAATTTAAAAATTGTACCATAGAGTTTTTCACTTCACACGTAAAAATTTAATTTTCAGATGAACACAACAATTTTATCTTAGAAAAATGATAAATACAACAATTTTTTGTCTTAAAAAATGAGAAATACAACAACATTTTGTCTTAGAGAAAACTAGACCCTGATGACGACATCATGCTAATGTCGAAAGTACTCGGAATAAAATGAAACTTATCCGTAATTACAAAAGGATCCTTTTTAAAATAAGTAGACAGAACTTGTCTAAATTATTTAATGAGACTTGTCTTAATAAAAACATGCTGCCAAAATATACGCAATTTATATATATATATATATATATATATATATATATATAGAGAGAGAGAGAGAGAGATAGATAGATAGATAGATAGATAGATAGATAGATAGATAGATAGATATGTAAGGGGTGTACAGGAAGTGACGATGGGAAAGGAAACATTGCTATCAAAATAATTTCCCCGGAGGTCCGTCCAGATTTTTTTGAGAGGCGATCTGGTATCGAAGAAAACTTAGACATCTGACCCGGAAGAGTGGCCCTACCCAAAAGTGAAATCTGCAGAATGCACGCTTCAAAAGAAACTATGCATCCTGGTTGTTTCTGTGACAACAGATGGTGACCCCCAGGGAGCGTAACTTCACAATAATATGTATTCATCATACTATTTAACCCTGTATTTTGACTAGATGACATTACAAAAGCGAGCTTCTATATTCACCCTACCCACTAGTCCGTGTGAAATAACGCAAATACATATATTTAATTATCAGAGAAAAGTTATAACAGATGATGGAAAATGTGACACCGAAATCCGAAGACGTATTAGAATAGAGAAAGAAGCATTGCAAAAACTAAAGAAACCATTAGGAAGCGGTAAATTTTCGTTAGAAACAAAGAAATGAGTGCTAACCTGTTATGCAATATCAGTTCTCTATATGGCAATAAATACAGAATATTTTCCTCCCAGATGAAGATTGATTCGATTGTTTTGCATTCTACGGTTTATCAACCTTTTGCAGGTTATTTAAAGACAGGAACGAATTTTAGATTGTAAGAAATTTTTTTAGAGATAATAATGTTTTTTTTTTTTTTATAGAAGACTTGCAGATTAACTGTTGTAACCAAAGGAACGTTACTGAATAGAATAATTACTCGAAGGTTGGTAATGAACGATAATACTTAAGACAAGAACAACGCATATAAGATTCGCCAGCGGCGCGTAGAAGAAGAAGTCAACTGCCAGAAGTGTGTCAAGTGAAATCCACAATGAATATCCGACTCTAGGATATCTACCAACCGCCCCACGCGGTCAGATGTGGCACAAAGCCGAATATAATATAGGATATCCTAGCCCATAGGCTCGGCCCAAAAATTCCCGGTAGACTCCCTATAAAACGGGGTCGGTTTCCCGAGATGAGACCCTGCCCTTCAACATAGCCTCGCCTGGGGATGCTCTCTGCCCGGAGACAGGGTTTGACCAGCACAGATGGAGACGAATTTCCAGCTGCAGGATATCTACCAACCGCCCCACTAGACCAACATACAGTATTTACTACTGTATTTATGTGAATAGGGACATACCCATTGTCGTTCGTAGGTATGCTACAACATTAACCGATAACTGAGAGAGAAGACATGGATTCATGCTTTTCCTCAAGGGTATTTGCGCTTCAGTGAATATAACGAACTCCACTCGAATTGGAACTCGGCTCTCCGATTAACAATTCCTAGTCGCTATCCTTTGCACCACCCGCACACCCAAGCTTACAGCACCCGGTATTCCCAAGTACCGATGAAGAGGAAACAGTAGATCTGGTTCTACTGAAACATACTGAGAATACCATGGATGTAACATGTGAATAATGAGGAAGTTTTAGTGAATATCTCAACGTAAAGAGACATTTGACATTTCTAGAATATATAATGAGCAACTCTTTAGACAGTCACAGAATATACGGAAGGCAAAAAGTAGCAGATGGGAACAGTGAGTAACATATTTATCGTACATGTGTCAAATGAATGCCAGAGTATGTATTGGGAGGGGTTTTTTAGGAGACAATCATTAGAACTTCAAAGGATAGGAAATCATCAAAGGTATGAATACATCTCCTCCCCCCACTAGCTATAGGTAAAATAGCAGGGAAGACTGGGCCGTATTGCTTTGGTTGGTAACCTGTCTAGAAGAAAAACCCTGTATTTAAACCACCTTGTAAGCCCTGCTCCTTTTGTTTGTTTATTTCCTTTAGCAGTATATCAACCCGCATGGGTTATTTAATGCCGACATCTAAGTATTTCGAACGCCATTTTAAGGCTTCAAATGTATTTTGAACGTAATTGTGTGTCTTCAACTACAGATAAAATATATTGGCCATTTTGCTATAAATTGTATTGTTGGTGATTTTTCGTTTTTTACATGAAAATTTAATTTTACCAAAATAATGTATGTTTATACCTTCATGGGGTTTTTATTTTGTTTTTGGGTTCACTATTTTCCCATAGCCGGGTTCCTAATAGGTGCTACCATCCTGAGTCAGGTTGGACCTGGGAACGAGAGGAATTAAGAAGTGGTTGCACGCTCCTCAAAAACTCCAATCTCTCGAACAGAGGCCTTGCTGCCGGATGTAGTTTATCGTCATAACAAGAACTAGTTGCCTCAGGTAGAAAAAGTTAACTTCAAAAACAATTCCACCTCGCATATCGTCTCGAAGAAAGGAACTGTTACTCTTCGAGCCGCGACAGAAAATAATGCACTTCTCGGCCTTTGTCAAATGGTTCGTGCAAACATAAGACTAGGAAAGGGCACGGTACTGAGGATCTCTCTGATTTTAGGCTATTAGTCTATGAGCGCATCATCTACGGCACTTTATTCGACGACGACAACCGTGATATCTGTTGACCATGTTCACCATAGTCTATGAATATAGAATACAGCGCAGTACGTAATCTGTTCAATAAAACAACATTAAAGATTAATACTCACGAGTCAGACACTCTACTGGATCTGACTATATCGCCAATACCACCAGCAGCTGTTCCGTAATTCTTTCTTCAGTCTTCCATATCAAAGGCTGGCAGTGAGTATTCGGGAAAAACATGGCCGCCTTTATACACGTCGCATTGAATATTTTGAGCCTTCTGATTGGTTAACCCTTCTATTGGTGAACTATAAAATAAGTCAGCTCATTTTGGCTGTCTCACTAGTATATCAGGGTACCCCAAAATTCCAACAATATCTTTTAGAGACGAATCGAAAAGGATCTTAATACGCATGCATGAATGAGTAGAATGTCTTTCGTTTGGTTACTCGTTTTCGATTCGTCTCTAAAATATAACACGGTTGTCGTCGTCGATCAGTCGCTACTGAATGTGCTTATGTAGCATTTAGCCGTATATATTACTTAATGCGTCCTGGGTTAGACGTTAAACTACATCCGCGTCCTGGGTAAGACGATAAAATACATCCAACAACAGGACCTCTGATCTGTAGGTTTTGAGGAACATGGAACCACCTCTTAATTACTGGTATTCCCAGGTCCACTATGACCCGGGGTGATGCATCTGTTAGAGGTCCTAGTTATGGATAAATAGTTAACCCCTAAACTGGGGTCAAAACACTATGAAAGTGTAAAAATAGGTTTTAGTACCAGCAAAACATTTTTGGAAAAAAATATTACCAGTAATGAATTTTTGAAGAAAAAATTATTACCAGCAATACATTTTTGAAAAAAAAAAAATTATTACCAGCAATACATTTAAAAAAAAAAAAAAAATTATTACCAGCAATACATTTTTGAAAAAAAAAAAAAAAATTACCAGCAATACATTTTTGAAAAAAAAAAAAATTATTATCAGCAATACATTTTCGCAAAAAAAAAAAAAAATAATAAATAAAAATATTACCAGAAATAAAAATCTTGTCGGCATTAAATAACTCATTGAGGTTGATAAGCTGTAAAACAAAACGCACCATTATTTAGTTTTGCGGTGTCAGTTTAGTCAAGGGAATAAACAATGATTAAACCAGTGGTTTCCATTTTTTTTAGCTACTCCCCTTCCAGGCCCACTCTCCACCCACACCTATAGGATGACTTTTCTTATCAGGCATTGTGAAAATTCAAAACAAAAACTAATAATGTTTTTTCATATTAGCAGTAAGATAAGATGTCACCAGACGAACATCTATAGCTATATCGCTATGCCTACAAACCTGGAGCATTGATCCCTGCAGACGTTGGCTTTCTAACTTAGCTGGTGCATAGGGCATCCTGCAGCGGTAACATCCAAAGAAACGTTCGGACTTTCAAATTCGCGAAACAAAATAATAAAAAAAACATGCCTTTGTGTGTAACTTTGACATTAATTTTAATCTTTATAAATTATATGCGTTTATGTGTAATTGGCTTATATTTACTGAGAGGAGTTTTTCAATATTTACATTCGGACTAATGTCGTATCTATCCCCTACAGATACGAGAGTTGGACGCTCCCGAGGCCAGAAAAACGATCTTGGCATTCGAAAACAAAAGCTTGAGAAAGCTTCTCCATATCTCCTAATGGGAGCACAAAAATAATGATTATGTACAGAGCAAGATCAATTGTCCCGTGGGCCGACAGGAATCGCTCCTCGCCACTGTTAATCGTCGGAAGATGGCATGCTTTAGCTACGTCACACGGCAGAACAACCCCTGCAAGACCATCATGCCAGACACTTGTTGTCGGTCGCAAACGGGGACAGCACCGAAGAACTGGTCAGAAAACATCAAAGAGCGGACGGACTTGACAATATCGCAACTCATGAGCGCTGGCTCTCATGAGTTCCGATATTGTCAAGCGCCAACTGATCATTCTGGAGGAGGTTGTTTTTTTGGCGTTTAGGTACACCACTCTGATGATTGAAGCGGTCAAGGAACTGATGATTATGATGTCGAATATCACTATCTTCGTTGATATTGTTATTACAGCGACTCAGATGTTGAACTCTTCACCTACTGATTTTCGATCCGAGTAAACTTCAAGGAATTTTGTACTGAACTTCTCATTTAATTTATTGTTGTCAGTCCATGTCTTGGGATATTTTGTCTTGATTTTACTTAGTACTGCTCAGCTATTGCTCGCCCTGTTTCCATTGTGCCAAAGCCTGTATTACTCGGCCTAGAGATTGAACTCACATTTGCTATGTCACAAATGCTTTAAGCTGTTAGACATTTGTCCCGAATGATAATCTAAATTTCGAAATAGGGACCTTAATATTTTTCTATCCGGCCTACTTAGATCTTTTCATATAGAATTTGTAAATCAAAAACAACAAATTTCTTCCTCCCGTTCTCCTATTTTTGCCACACATACCCTTGAATCTGTTCATCTCTCGAACGGTGTCCAATGTCCTAATGACCGGATAGTGTCACATCATTTCTTTTGTCTCACCGTCCGCTTGAATCCGTTC